TTACTCAGTTTAAGGAGATGATTTTCTGAATTGCCTCAGAAAAGGTTGGCACGCAGTGGTTCCACACCGTTTTGCAGGGTGGTCACCCTGTGTTCCCAGGCTGAGGTGGCAGCCCCAGCTGGAGTTCATTGTCAATTGAAAATATATGCATGCATTTGTATTTGTAAGTCAACTTTGCTTGTAAGCAAAACATAACCCACCTTTAAATGAGAACTGTCTGTTAAATTGCAGTGTGTCAGGTACTTATTCACAGAATCTCAGAGGTTAGAAGAGAACTCAAGAGATTGAGTCCACCCCCCCTGCTAAGGCAGATACCCTACAATACATTGCAACTAAAAATAAGCAAATAAATAAAAGGAGGAAATGCAAATACAAAGAGGAAGGTGTGCTTTGAAAGGAAGAATTACAGGGACAGGGAAACAAACCGGTGTCATATCTGTGGATGACTGACCTCATTCTCTTAAAGTGAAGGTTTAGGGACAATTTTTTTAATTTATATTTTTTGGGTGAAGTGTGAGTTGAGCTGTGTGAGTATTCATGTTGACTTTAATACTACATAGTGTAATTATGTAAAAATAATGCTTTAGATTTAATGCAGAAATACAGAACCCAGGTTCAGATACACCCATGTTTTTAGTTAGAAGGAGCTTATGCTTGCCAGCACAAGGTCTCCTTAAAGTCATGTCTGGCAGCAGACGATGGATATTTCATTAGCTTCCTCTGTTTAAAAGCAGAAGGGCTTAAATTAAATATGTGATGCTGGGTTTGAACATTCAGTCTGCAGCCAGGGTGAGCTGTGGTGCGACCATCACTGTGCCCACACCATGCTGGCAGTGGCAGCCAAGGCAGCACAGTGTGCAAGAGGAATGCTTCCTACCAGTCTCACTGCAGCCTTACACACACTGGCTAGCACAAATGGGAGGAGGTGGCAGAGACAGAAGGACTGGATGGCAGCATGGCTGGGAAGGCAGGAGGTGTGTCTGCTCTTTTGTTTTTTTTTAATGCAAATCCTGCCTTGTGTCGATTTAAGGGTATAATTTGACAGTTTGACTTCCTTGAGTGCTAGTGTACTGATATTACTGAAATCTAGCTGCATAATGCTAACTGCCTAAGGGGAATGGCTTCTAACTAAAAGAGGGAAATTCAAGTTTGATGTTAGGAAAAAATTCTTTACTCAGAGGGATGTGAGGCCCTGATACAGGCTGCCCAGAGATGTCACAGTGTCCCATCCCTGGATGTGCTCAAGAACTGGTTGGATGGGCTCTGATCTGGTGGGTGGCACCCAGCCCAGGGCATGGGTCAGAGCATGATGATCCTTAAGATCCCTCCCAACCCAAGCCATTCTATGATTACCTAGTATTTTTGGTGCCACCAATTACCTTTAGAGAATGCTCATGTATAAATGTACAGCTTATTCTTCTTACCAGTGCATAAAGCGAGACTGATAAATGAAATCTAAGCTTCATACAACATAAGGGGCAATGCAATCTGCCAGCTCATTTTCAGTGTTCTGATCAGTAAGTTTTTTTTTTAAAAAAAAAAAGAGGGAGAAGGAAATAAATGGCTTTGAGGTGTTATTCAAGTATTTTCTTGTCCTAGAACAGATGTGATTACTCAATAATACATCGTTGCTAAAATTTATAGGAGAGAGGATTGCAAGACGACTTCCTAATGTCACATGGTGGTGATGGTGGCCTTCATCTCAGTCCACATTCCCCCACTTATTTTTTTGTTCCTCTTAACCATTCCTTTGTATTCCTTAAGCATGTTTCCTTCTGCCAGCTTGCATTGCTGACCGTGCTGGTTCAAGCCAAGTCTTTGATTCAGACTGGAACCTGCCTGATTCACAAAGAGGCTGGAACTGAGATCAAGAGACACCCAGCTCACTTCCAACAAGTCTCCTGGCAGACAAGATACTGGAGAGGGGAAGAAAGAGCAGACTGTTCCTTAAAAACAAGCAGACGAGAAATAGCAAGAGCAGAATAAAACAATGTGCTCCTTAAAGGAGATGTGGTCTCATCTAACCCGAGTGCTCAGACCTGAAATGAGACCTAGCAGTTAGTTATGGGGTGCGTGTGCTGTTGGTTTGCAGTGCTGGAAACTACCAGGTGGATTGCACTGCACAGAGAAAAGGGGGATGGCTGAATGCAGCCATAAAACATCAGGCTAAAAGGTAGGTTAATGATTCGTTGCTAGGCAGTCTAATGATTTACTCACTTTTCTGTTGCTGTCTTTCTGTTGTGGTAATATTTGTTCTTTTATGTGTTCTGTACGTTATGAAGAATATATTAAGTCAGTGCTTTCTGGGATGTTCTTTGGCAAGAAATTTTCCTTACGTTTGGTCTCTTGCTCTGTTTTTTTTTTCTTTTAGTGCTCCATGTTTCTCTGACCTCATTATTATTTTTGAGCTGCTTCTGTGATTTGACATTGAAAAAAGTTATTCCAACAAAAGCAGCACAGCATGTTACTCAGACTTTACAAAGTGTCAGATGGGCACGATCAGGACTTAATCTTGCAGCCTACGAGGCACAGATCCAAGTTATTTCAATTAATTGGCAGCTTTTGTTAAATAAAACTTCTAAGTAGAGAGATGCGTATCCTCCTGACAAAGGTGCAGTGCTCTACTTTCTGCAGCCCAGTCACAGGTCGAAAATGCAGAAGCTGGGGCTGCTATATAAGGTTTACGAGGTATGTATGAGCTATATGAGGGTATCAAAGGATGCAACCATTTTTCTTTGAATACGTTGTCAGTCCTGTGCTGAGAAGGAGATACAGATCCTTAGATCCCCAGAAGCAGAGCATGTTTTAACAAATGACCTTCTTTGGGGGGAGAAAAAAAAATCAGTGCAAGATACAAATAAATAATAAAAGAATGGCTGATTTGTTTGAAAGTTTTCCAGCCAAACAGTAGGGGTTATGCAAGAGTCAGCCTGGACCCAACAGAGAAGGCATTGAACCAGGTCTAATAGGAACAACTGGACCCAATACCCATATTATGTTCAGTAATGGAGTTTTTTTGTAGTACAAGGACTTTAATGTTGAAATCTTAACATCCAGTCTGGAGGGAAAAAGGAAAAAAATGAAGTCCAGCACAATTAGAAAATCTCTTTTGTGGATTTTAAGTATTGCCAGCCACATTTGTGTCTTTTCACAGATGAATGGGCTTTTCTGTCACTGTAAGGCTGCATTGTAAAGTAACGGACTTGAACTAATTGTGTCCTGTAAACCTATTTAGAATAATCATAATAATAATAAAAGTTCTTTGAAGCTCAGACATGCGTGTAAGTTGTTCCTGCCATCTAAATGGGTTGGTAGTTGGGCAGCCCTTTACCACTCAGAGTTAACAGGAGTCAGGAGCGTTTTAGGAAAAGCAGCTGGATAACACAACTCCTGGGAAGAGTATCTATGGAGGAGTTGCAGATGGTTGCCAATTCAAGTGAGGTGCTTGTCTTCTGCTTTTCTGGTTATTTTGGTTACCAGGAGGTGCTGGAAGGTCTGTTCCGACCCAGTGAGACAGTTATCCCCATGAGGATGGAGAACAGGTCCGATCTTCAGCTCTTAGTACCTTGCGGCATTTGAAGACATCATGAGAACCTACATTCTTAAACCCCAGCATTTTTCTGGGGGAAAAGCCATAATTCATTGTTGTTGAGCTGTGATGGCGTCTCTGAATGCTCTCTCAAGAGTTTTATCCTTCTGCATCAGTGCTCTTAGCTGCAGAAGACAATGGTTCATTCTTCAGCAAACCTTAGCTCATTTTGTACCTCCACTTATAGCACGTTGCCCTAAGCAGAGAACAAATGAGAAGGCATTAAATAGTCTGTGATAGGAAGAGATCATACACTGAAAGAGGTTATTTTTCCCAAACCCAGTTTTGCCTTCTCCCCAGCACCCCCTAATCAGTCTTGCTGGCAGGCCCTGATGATCAGCCAGGAAGTGAATGAGCTCAGGCTGCAGGAGAGCAGCATACCCAAGAACATATCCGTATCAAAGCCATCCCAGTTCATTCCCAGGGCTCATCACAGGCAGCAGGGCTTGTGCTGCTGGAGCTGCTTTAATGGGATTCTCCCAAATGTTTTTATCTTGAAGTAGTGGGAGGTTTTAGCTGACCCACTTCAGATGCCACGTCAGTTTGTTGCTCACACAATATCCCAAAGAGCAGCCGCAGTGACCCGAAGGAGGGATGCTTTGAGCCACTAACAGGAAGGTATCAGTTGAACCACATCACTTAACGCTGCTCGACAGGCAGTGTTCCTTCCCATTTGGATGTTTTGTAAATTGCTTATATGCTAAATGCTTTTGCATGCAAATATTCTTATATTAAATACATTATTGAATGTAGGTATTTGCATGTTAAAACGTATTTTCATAATATGCTATCTCTTCCTACAAATCTTGCTTCTCTTTGTTCTTCAGACCTGAGAAAACCTTCCTCTCAGTACCTGTTGAGAAATGGGGTTTCTGAGCCTGATTCTTTGTGTGAAAATGTGAATGTCTGAATGTGTGAATGTCTGATTTTCTGCTTTTGATCCACTTTCTATTTGTGTTTGTTTATCGGTTGTTTTTTTGGTTTTCTTGTGTTTTTTTCCTAAGGTGTTTTAAACTTATTTTTCTACTAAGATGTGAAAACTGTTTTGTTTTAGTTTTTTTTTTTTTTGTTACTAATGTAATGAACATTGGTGAGAATCCTTGCTTACAAATGCACACATTTCTCTAAGCTGAAGCTATGGGATGCTTTGGAAATGCTGTCATTGAGGAATGCCTTTGCTGGAGCTGGGAGAAAAGCTCTGAGCGGATGTTGAGGACAGGCCCTGCCTTCTGGATGTGCTGTGTTGAAGCTAAAAGTGTCAATGAGGAGAGCTGTAGTGAAGAAAAAAACAAACAAACAAACAAACTTGGGCAGTGGTGAATGTGGCGTAAAATGAGATTTTGTCACAAAATATCTAATGCGCATTTTGGATTCATGATTTTAAATGTTCTGCTTTTGTTTTGTTTTGCAGGTGAGGACTCCCATCCGCAGAGCTGAAGCATGAGTACCGATGCCAGTCAGGTGGTGATCACTTCTCCCCCTGCAGCCACAATGCCCCACAAGGAGAGGTACTTTGACCGCATCAATGAGAACGACCCCGAGTACCTCCGGGAGAGGAACATGTCTCCAGACCTGCGACAGGACTTCAACATGATGGAGCAGAGGAAGAGGGTCACTCAGATACTGCAGAGCCCTGTGAGTAGGATTAAGGGGGAGGATGACAACTACAGAGTGCTGGCTTTGAGATTCCTCTTTAGTTTCTTGAGGTTTAAGAAAAGAAAGCGATGTCACTGTTAGCTAGAATTACTCTGGACTGTCTTATAAGAAGGGTCGCTAAGCAGATTATCCAACATTTTGTTTGCTTAGCTTCTTGTCTGTGAATAAACACTGGTGGTTTGTTTTTTTTTTCCTCCTGGTGCTTTTATGGTCTTATGCTTCATTACAGTATTACAAAAAGATCTGGCTGGCTGAAGGGTACTTAATTAAAACTTAGGCTCAAGGAAGAGAGTAAAGGAGTCACACCGGTCAAATAGGAACAAATTAGGGTGTTAGATGGAGTTCTGCACTCTGGTTTTGAATATGAACTTATCGTTTGCATCAGGAATGCTTTAATTACGTTTTTAATGTTGGCTAAGATCATTCAAAAGCTAGAATATGTTCTCTTGTACTTGGGGGCGATCATACCCATATAAGGCCTTAATAATTCTATGTTAGCACTTACTTTCTGGTTGCGTAAGTTCAGTGCTTCGTAGGCTACGTGTAACACTTTCATCTAGAGGTGGTTTAATAGTTTTAATTTATATTTTAATGTATACATTGTGTGAATTTAACCTGATGAATGCTTTGGAAAGCAAAACTGGCGCCTGAGTGGTCTGAAGCTGTAGAGGGTGAGCCTTTGGGGTGGGGATTATAAGGTGAGCAACAAAGACAACAGGACTTGGAAGGGGTTAAGCAGCTTTGCAGATCATTTTCTGTTCAGCTCTACTATAAGGTGGGGTGTTTCTCATGTCATTTTTCTGAAGCTTTTCCATATGTAATGAGATTGCAAACAGCTGTTAGTAATCACCCTATTATAGTCATCCATGAATAACAGGATTGTTTGCTAAAGTGTTGTCGTGGAGTGCCTCTTGGATCTGTGTGTTGCTCTGGGTATAATGTGAACCTGTTGATTAAGGAATTTATGACTTTCAAGTCGATTTGTGCAAGTTTCATTCTGCAGCCAACCCCTTTATTATAAAGAAAATACTCCAAGGAGGTATTGCATAATGCTTTAATCATGATAAAATTATGTTAAACACTCGATTGTAAAATGTGATCAGTCTGCTCCTTCCTGTTAAAATACTCACATTACAAGTAGCCAGGGCTCACAGCAAAGACTGGATCTTTATCCTGTTTAAATAGGGCAAGATAAAAATAAGTTGTAGAGGTTGTGTTTGTGGTGTTCTTTGGTTCTTCCAATGGAAGCACTGAATCAGGTGGTCGTAACTATTTGCTCAGCATTTTGGGGGGCCCTTTGCCAAATCTGCCAAATGTAATAAATGTCTCTTTGCTGCAGTCTCTGGTATTCTGGAGATACGGTGTCAGCATACAGGTTTTAGGAAGGGATGAAGAGGTGCTACCTCTGAGTCTGGGTAAGTGCTTTAACAAACAGCAGGAGGATGAAGCCAGGCAGTTCTGAGTGTACTGCTGTAGGACAAGCCGAGCCCAGCACTGTTTGGAGATGCCAGTAAGTTGCAAGTTGTGCAAAGGAATGGTTGTCCAAATAAGCCAGGGGCCTGCTGGCTGCGTGGCCATTCTCATCTGACTGGGAAAAGACAAGGACGTGGAATGCAGGGTGTGAGAAGGCATGGACAGAAGGAGCCTGGGCTGCCAGCTTCTTTCTCCTTTTACTGGCTCTTCTTGAAACAGAAAATGTGGAGTAACCCTTCTATGATTCCTCATGTGAGGAAATAAAAGCATTTTTAGTACAACATCCAATGTCCATCAAGCAAATTTCCTAACTGATCTGGGGGTAGAAACTGCATTTCTTCTTCCAGCGGCTGGCTGCAATGTGGCGTGTAGCGTTCTTGAGTCAGGACTGAAAATGATTATGAGATGAAAAATGATTATCTTCTCTCTTATGAATACTTTTTTTTTTTCCTCACAAAAGTATCAGAAACATTTCTCTTGTTACTGGTCTGCATAACACAAGCCCAGGGTTGTATTCTGTACAGTGTTTCTGTTCTATAGCTGCAGAATTGCATTAGAGGTTTGCATAAAGCTTTAGTAAGAACTAGTTTGGTGTTTGGGAAGAGGGGGAAGAGAGGTCATCAGACACATTTTTGTGAAGAGATTTCTTACTGGTGAATATTCATCTCATCTGACATGTGCATATGTGTACTCAGATTGGAGGGTAGTTGTTGATTCATCATAATTACATATCACTGACTGTAAAGTGTATGTAGCAAAGATAATAACTTTCTATCCTAAAAATATGCAAGCACATATGGGCTAAAGGCAAACTTGTGTGAACACAAGCTTTCTCCAAGCAAAGAATCATGCTATAAAGCTAAAAGGTTAATCACTACCATCTAGGAGGAAGCTTAGGTATTCATATTTTATTAACAAGCTTTTTTCCTTCCTTTCAAGTAGGAAAATCTACATCCCTTAGCAAGAAAATATATTAGTAAATATATATCAGGAGCTGCTCTGTATTTTGTGCAGTACATGTCATTGCAAGGGCTACAGCCCTGGCCAGACAGCCTCAGACATCAAACTGCTGCATCTCTCTGATGTGCCATTTGATGCACACTTGATGTGCAGCCTGGCTACTCCCCTCTGATGTTCTATTTCCCTTTCCTAAATTAAATAATTTAAAAACTGCACTCATTACCTCTGATGTTTGCTAATGCTTGTAATAAGTCTTAAATCAGTAACGCTGATTTGTTCTGTTAACGCTGCCCATAAAGAATCTCCTGACATTATCAGCAATTTCTCAGACATGTTTACTTGATGCTCCCTGTACATCTGAAAGCCTGGACAATCTGACAGGACCTGCATGTTTGTTGTTCTGTGTTAAGTCAGTAGAAAGCAGTGACATTCAGATAGGTTTGTGGAGCCTGATAGCACTCAGAAATACCACTGGACATGAAGTTGTATGATTTTATTTCATTAATGTCTGCAGGTTCAGAGCACTTGGGTATTACATCGTTCTTTTCTTAGGAACAAATATTTTCTTGCAACAGACTACTTCCTTTGCTTTCTGTGGTTCTAATATACTTCAGCTGTAATATATCCAAAATAGGAAATTTTTTTTTTTTTTTTTTTTTTTTTTTTTTCTATCTCTCTAAAATTAAAAACGGTTTTGTCTTTATATGCTAAACAGCTGTAAACTGACTATTGGCATGCCTGGTTTACGTTTTCGTAAGATCCTAGAATTGTTTGAATTGGAAGGAGCCTTAAACGCCATCTGTACCAACCCCCTGCACAGAGCACGGACACTTACAGTTCCATCAGGTGCTCAAGTGTCCCATCCAGCCTGACCTCAGGTGTCTCTGGGGATGGGCAACTTGCTCCAGCGTCTCACCACCCTTACTGCAAAAAATTTCTTCCTTATATCCAAACTAAACCTCTCCTCTGTTAGTTTGAAAAGGAAAGTTTCTTGTGGCTTGTCAAGCTGCACTGAATGTGCACTGTGTCTTTGCTCATGAAACACTCAGGTGTTAGGAGCCTGTTCGGTTTTAGCCTGAGAGGAAGCTGGCCTGCAGGATCTCCCAATGCTTTGCTTTAATTCTGTGCTGGCTGTGACAGTGCTGATTGGTTCTGTGCAACACAGGAGGCAATCGGGATAATGGTTCTTCAACATTGCTGTTACATAATGGCAATAATTCAGTTGTACCCATCCGTATTGCAAAATTGGTTTTCTCAACCAAATATCCTCCTGTCCTTTCTGCCCACAGGTGTGCATGTGCCCAGCCTCCAGCTTGTCTGACTTAGCTTTTTCTTTCTTTTTTTTCCTGGGATGCGCATTTGTCTGGCTTGTTTTGGTTTGTATCACATGGACATCCAGTATTTTCACACCACCACTCCCTTCTGAGGCAGTTCATTTTCATGAAATATCCAAGTCCTTTCAGCTGCTCTCTTATTTTGGCTTGCACTGCTCTTTCCCCATCAGGCAAAAAGCCCTTCTGATTCTTTAGGAGTATTTCCTGTTGCTAGCATTTCATTCTATCCCTTTGGTCTGGTCCCATTCCTACAGGACCTTTTGCAGGAGCAGCCTCTCGTTCTGCAGCTCCCCCAGCTGGCTTCAGGCTCCCCTGACATTTGTATAACTTTCTGCTGGGGAACTGCACAATTGTCTCCTGCCCTACTCTCATCAAAATGGCTTTTTAAATCTTTGCTCTTCTGTTCTCCACTCTGTTACACTGGAAATTAAAATTACCTTTGACTTCTGCCTTATTTCCAGGTTGCAGCTTTCCATTTAGTTAGAACTCAGGTTTTCAAATGTCAGCGGTTTCCACATTGAACACACGTATTTTTCCCCTTCCATATTTCTGATCTTTGTGTTGCTGACTTGCTTGAAGTTTTTGTCTTCTTGGGAGGGGATTGTCTGCAGATCATGCCGTGATTTTTGTCCTTATATCCTGTAGAACATTCAAATCATTAAGCAGTTAAGTCCATCCTCCTTTTGCTTGATGAGTTTGCATAGAATAATTACAGTTGGAAAGGACCTCTAAGATCATTTAATCCGAGCCCAGTCCATACCCACCAATATTGCTCACTATCGATGCCCCTCAGTGCCACATTTCTATGGTTCTTTAACACTTTCCGGGACAGTGACTCCCCCACCTCCTTGGGCAGCCTGTCTCACCACTCTTTCTGAGAAGAAGTTTTTTTCTAATAACCAACCTGAACCTCCCCAGCACAACTTAAGGCCATCAGTCTCACCCTATCACTGTTACCTGGGAGAAGAGTCCGACCCCACCTCGCCACAACCTCCTTTCAGGGAGTTGTGTAGAGTGATAAGGTTTTCCCTGAGCCTTCTCAAGGCTGAACCGTCTCAGATCCCTGAATGGCTCCATATAGGGTTTGTGCTCCAGACCCTTTATAGCTTTGGTTGTCCTCTTGACATGCTCCAAGGCCTATGAGCCTTTTCTATGGCTCTATCTGTATTTAAAGTTGTTAATTGTAAATAACAATCAGACTTAATTCTGTAG